GACATCTTCAGTGCGCTGTTGGTTGAGTAGTTCCTCTCTTCGTGTATGCGTTTATATAGTCTGCAAAGAGCAGCCTTTGCGCTGTAACCTGGATTCTGGTTGGTCCGATCTTAATCTGTGTTGCGTTGTGGTTTGTATTTCTTGCCGTCGGTTGTCTCTTGCGGTTGGCCCGTTCTTGATCTGCATTGCGTCGTGGTCGGCTTCTTTGTTGGTTTGTGGCGTGCCTCCTATTTTTAGTAGCTTGCTGTTCTGTTGATTTCCTCGAGTCCTTGTTCGGCCTCGGGTTCTGTGGTTCTGGATTTCCTTTGTCCTCAGAGGCTGGTAGGCAGGATCAATCTCAATACGCCTGTTTATTGCTCCATCAGTGGAGTACCACGCCTCCATGAACTCGCGTTCTTTCTTTGTTCTTGCCTGGCCCAGTATTCTGACGTTAGTCCAATCGAAATGGTGTCCTTCCCCATCTTCGTGTGCAGAGATGAGAGAGAGTTGGTCATGTTTCCTGGTGGCGAGCTTGTGTTCGTTGATTCTGGTTGACAGTTTCCTTCCTGTTTGTCCCACGTAGTGTTTTTCACAATCGTTGCATTGAATTTTGTAGATTACATTTGTCTTTTCCATCGCATTAAGTGTACCCTTTGGTTTTTGGCCGACCCTCGATCTGGCAGAGGGTTATGAAAGGGATCACGAAACTTTTGGGTGCTATCGTTGCAACTTGCCTTCCATACTGGGGACTGCGTGATCGTCAGTAGCGCTGCAAAATATGGTTGCGAAGCGATGTAAATGGTGTCAATGACGATGTTGATATCCGTTCCTATCCAAATTGCCTGAATGAATGTCTTCAGGTGTAGGCTCCTCGGAATGGTTGTAGTAAGCCATCAGTAAGTCCGTCCACTGTCCACATTTATTAATTGATGCGGTGTTCCGACAGACTAAGCGCTTACATGTTGTTGTGGCTGCCGCGGATATGAATGCGCATATAGGTAGACTTAGAGCTGCTCAACTTCAATCTGGTGAACAAACTGCTTTATAATCCAAAGGCAAACGCCTGCTCCACTTGCGTGCTGAACACACTGTGTGTAGTACCAACTTCCGAAACAACTGAAGTCACTTGGCTACATGCAGCTCCCGCATGCGAGCCAAACTCCAACACAGATAGTCCACATCGTCATTAGTTATAGGTGGCATGGGAAAATAATAATCACTCAGCTGTAGCACTCTCCCGGTGCCTAGCTGCCATGCCACCACGACGAAGCACGAGGGCTGGGAAACTGCTAGGTTGCCCAAGCCTAGACAGGGGAAGTCGAGTGCCAAATGTCGGGTTCGAACCACGGGCCTTCCGGTTGGTGAATCCGCGCTCTAACCACTTGGGCTATCTCGCCCAATTACCGATTGTCTCCCACTTCGGAACGCCTGTGTGGGTGCGGAGCATGTACTAGTTCGTTGCGCTATTCAGGGGCACACAAGATACACGCACCTCGGCTGGCCCTTGAGAAGCTTTCGGATTCTGATGTGAAACAAGTCTATCGAAGCCAGCTAGTGAGATCACCTTGGAACAGCACCTCTTCTGCTGTTGACTTTTACTAGAGGGTACTGTCCACAACCCTGCGAGATGCTTACCGATCGGCTTGTGGAATGGCACAACCATAAGGATCTGAACCCTGCATGTCGTGCAATGCCAAAATTTTTCGAAGCTCGGAATACAGTTGACAAACAGTCGAATGTCAAGCAGGAAAGAGCATCTACGCGGATCCATGAACTCGATGGATTTAGAAGGCTGTAAATAGCTGTAAAAAGAACACTTAAATTGCTTGCCTGAATACTTTCAAGAACAATCCAACTGGCCGCCTGCAGTTGCTCAGCTGGATTGCTGACCCACAATGCAACTCTGAACAGTGAAATTAGAATCACTGCAAGCGCTTCGGACATATGGGAACTTCCACGCGCTTCGTTCAAAGATAGAAGTGAAATATTCAATCGGTGCTTGTCTAACTTATCTGTCTCCATCTTGGGGGAGGAGACTGTCCCCACCAACTGAATTTTGTCGACAATTGTATCCATTTTCAAAAGCACTGCTCGCAGCATGGGGCACCTGAGGAGAAATCAGCCTGACTCGGGTGGTAACAAACCTCTTCGCGTTGTTTATCTGATGTCGTCTTACGAATGTGCGTGAGGAAGGAATCCGAGGACATCAAGTAGGATTTACTCGCAGCATGGGGCACCTGAGGGGAAATCAGCCTGACTCGGGTGGTAACACACCTCTTCGCGTTGTTTCTCTGATGTCGTCTTACGAATGTGCGTGAAGAAGGAATCCGAGGACATCAAGTAGGATTTCGGTCGGGAAGGGGCAGTACGGACCACATCCCCAAACCTCATCAAGTGGTAGAGCAATGACTTAGGTATAGACACCCTACTATCTCAGATGAGCGCTTTAATGTCTGTGGTGATTTTCTGTCGAACTAATGTATACCTCTCTTTCCTTTTAGCTTACTCAGCCATTGAGTCTATTATGGAGTTTTTATTGAAGCGTATCCCGGCTTGTTCGAGGGCACTTGGTGAATTGGATTCCGAAGATGAATCAACGGATGACGAGTTAACAGAGAAAAAGGACGAGTTCGTCTTATCGGACGGTCTTACCGTCCATTTAGAGAGTGTTTCCACCACGCGGTTGGTCATCGCTTTGGGTCCCATCCAAACGGCATTCATCACTTGCTGTTTCCGCCTTTCAACCGGTAGTCTTTTGGGCACCCTATCTTATCCCTCACCTAGTCATAATGTCACGAATCGGGTTGAGTGGAACTCCCTGTGCATATATCACTCTTCGGAATTATACCCCGGTACTTTGATCGTCACCGTACCTTGCGGAAAGCAGGACGTTCATTTAGTTCAGAAGAGGGTTGCGAACGCATTGATGAACCTGGTCCTTGGAACAAATCTTCGAGTCACTGTTTTATGTGATGAGCCTATTCATAGATTTCAGACGCAATCAGAACCAACTGCACCCGTTATACGGATACTAACTAACGAATCTTCAACAGGTTCCCACACTTTTCCGTTTCCCTCTCTAGAACAACCTAACATTATCTCCGGTTACGCCGCTGAGTTCTTCTCTTTCGCTGTTCTGCGTTCTATTCCGACCACTTTATTTGTGCTATACTATGCCAACAGCTGGGACCCGCGCTATGCATGGCATGGAGCCAAGGAGCTCCTTGACCAACTGCTTCCGATTCGAAATTTCCTGGGCGAGGTTCCTCAGATGGCCGAACATACGTGGGATGCGATTGCATACCCTTTGAAGGAAAATTGCATATCAGCCCTCAGCGGGAACAAACCTAGTTTGACGGATCAGATGTACACGTGATACCTGCTTACTTTTTGGGTTCGAAAATACAGTTCCGCTCAAACTGACATACTTATTCATGCATTTCCGTAGAAACCATTAGGGTGGTATCACCTTTGGAGAGATCGTCACATGATAGAACGACTTTTTTTAACCTCGTTTACAGAGAACATCTCGACCAAAGATCAACTTGTGCAAAAAGTGCGTATCATTGTTCAATTTGTTCAAACCTTACTAATGCCGTCTGACTAAATCATGACAGTTCTACCTTCCAACTCTAACTCTGGTGATAAGTTTCACTCAGCAAAGAACACTGAAAAAATTCTACATTTTGGCGAGCTGCTTTATTCGCCCATACAAGCTACGGAGTTACTGATAATAATCGGCTTGCGAAACACGGTATCACCTTGGTGCAGTATGCAGAGTGTGACGAAAACAGAAGCCAGCATTTGCTTGAACTTCCGTACGTTGGGCATTTATACCAATCTGCCACTTTGGTGTAGACAACTAGTAGCGGACCGTTCGGCCAGAGCATTCCGACTGGGGCACAGTCGTTTTTCTCAGTTAAGTGCGAGGAAAACCGAGTAAAGTAATCGAGGTCCGAGTGCAGGACATACTACCAACTGTTTAGGCCCCTTTGTAATCAGGGAGGCGAGACCTCTCTTGGAGAGAATTGTTCACTCGACTAGGTTTGGCCCCGCTAGTAATCTGAAGAGGATGATGGTCAGTGGGCACTTTTTCTGTCCGATACGATTACTGTTCACAACCTTGGAGCAGGTCGAAGGTTAGAGTTTATTGGATTGAGGACGTCCATGATATCCTTCAAGTGGTTGTTGCTTCGTGATTTTTTCAGCCTGCTGACGCCTGATTGGTATGCTTCTCACAATGCAAGGGATATGAAATCTTCCTACACGTGCGCCCTTCACAACATTTGCCCAGATTGCTAAGATTCATATACATGTAAGCCGTTTGCTTGATCTGCCGTACTTTGAGATATCGGTGATAGTTTTTTCTGAATTAGTTTGACAGTCTGTGTCGGATCTCGAAACAGTTGAACTCGAGAGGATTATAAAGGTTATCGTTCCAAATCCTTGCTAGTGAGGATCGGCTTAAATACGCCATGTAGCGTGAGCCAACACGACCGCGATTCCGTCACGGTAGGTTAGCACCAAGCTCCCTCCACACCCACTTTTGTTCTTTTACTTACAATGAGGCTTTCAAATAAATTATAGCTGTACTGCAGCGAAGCATCAGTGTTGAACCCTAATGTTATGCTGCGTATGATGCTGACGAACACGAACATGATTGTGTTATCCGATCATCTCTCCTGAGCAACGCTTATTCGAGACTCTGAAAGATTTATCCTGTCCCCGAAGATAATCTCTTGATCGTTTCCAAGAGGTCGGAGCTTTTTGCCGCCTCCCTGTTTACTACAGCAATTTTTCTTGATGGTTGTAAAGCTGTCGAGCACTAGTGTTTTTCTGCTGATGTACCAATGTCCATATTACTGTAGGCAATATTTTAGTGTCTCTACCTGATTCATTCTTTCATCTCGTTGAACATGGTTGTGTTTGATCTGCTCGCCGAGCTTGGCAATTAGCTCGCAAATGTTTCGTCACTAATCTAAGTGATATCCACTGGCATCATCAACTGCGCACCTCGACTGGTGACAAAACGTTAGCAAGCTAATTGCCAAGCTCAGCGACCACTTGATCAACCACCAATGGACACACCCGAGCTACCAATATTCAGGTATATTCCCATAGTCAATGTTATACCCAAGTAGATCGAACAAATACGACACAAAAGTTATTTCACATCATTTCTGCAGATCGAATAATATACACAAGATAAAGCGAAAATTGAACGAATCATGAGTCATGGTTAATGAAGTTCGAAAAGACTGAAGGAGATTGAAATGCGAAGCGAGAGCAGGCTGTTTACATTGATAAATATCCATGATCGAACTGAAAACGCCCCACTGTTTGCTCGCCTTATTGGTCTCATAGACTTTAAGTGCTCGACCTTCGATAATCTGTGTGAAAGGAGCGAGATGGCGGGCGACAGCACACCACGGATTGGACATCTTTTACGAGTTGTTACGAAAGGACCATGCAGCAGAAGAATCTGAGTCGGTATTACAAGAAAAAGAGGTTTGTACACGATTTGATTGTTTTCCCTACATAGCTGACAATATATGCCAGCAGAATGCCAAGCAAGCAAACGGTAGGGGACTCGCAGGTGAAAATCGTGAGGTATTCAGCTATACAACAGGTATCTGAAGATGTTGCGCAGCTTATGGAGGTGAACAAGTTGGTTCAGCAGTGAAAGACAGAAGACGTTCGGTCATTGAATGGTATTCTGGATACGTTCGATCCATTCGTTCGCCTGAGCAGCCGACTCTGCGGCGAAGCGGTAGGTTCGACCGTTGGTTTCAAGCTGAATGTGAGGGTAAAAAAGAGAACGGGTGTACATTCAGTTGTTTTGCATCCCTCTTTCTGAGTACAACAGAAAATTTCGCTCTCTTGAAACCAAAGGTTATAAAAAAGATTGCAAATTCGACTCAAGATCAGACTACTTATTCTTTATAGAATCTTGGTAACCAGTCAGGCGTACAGCATACAGCTGTATGAGGTTTTATACAATCCATAAGATACTGAATACTGTTACCATTAAGTCCGAAGGAGGGGCGGACAATTTGTCGGAAGGGGACCCAAACCTCAACCTTTGCACCCCCTTGACGATATTCAGTCGAGTACCATTAGGGCAACAAAATTTCTGTACCCTGGTAACCGATGGCGCGTTAGTATCGAATGCAGTCACTATGTATGGCGCGCGCGTTCGCACGCTACGTCCTCCCTACCCTGTAGGCATAACTTGAGATTTCTTATGCAGGATCCCATATCCGATGACAGTAATTCGCCCTTTGGTTTTTGACGAAGCAAACGCTCGTCATTGTTCAAAGTAACGGGATTTTGCGGGCAGCACCAGACGAAAACATGGCTGAAAGCGTAAAATGGACAGTGTTTATGGGTACCACCAACATCCTAGGGTTCATGTGTTCGCTTGTCCCCACATCAGTGGCCAATCGTGTGCTATCAGTAATGGCTGAAAGCGTGAAATGGACAGTGTTTACGGGTACCACCAACATCCCAGGGTTCATGTGTTCGCTTGTCCTCACATCAGTGGCCAATCGTGTGCTATCAGTTGGACCTACCGCTTGTTTCCGGAATACTCTCTTCGCTGCCCAGGCTTCGCTTACCAGTTAATGACCGGCCACAAGGTGCGCAGAGACTATTCGTTATTACCGGTCCAGTTAAAGACGGCACCATTAGATTCTCAGCAAACCGTCTGTGGTTTCACTTTCGAGGTAGACTAGACTGTTGCAACGATGGCACCAAAATGGCGAGTGTGGCCTGCAGTTAACACCTCAGGAAGCACCTTGAGCAGCCTGTGCAACAGCGGGGAATATTGATCCCCTCACTAACACTGTGAAAAACCAAATTGTAATGTGGATAGATAACCAGATCGTCCACTAGAAATATTTACGTCCATAAGGTTTATAGTTTTAAATTCACGTAATGTACACCTTTGTCAAGCACAATTATGGGTACGATCGTTTACCTCAAATACTGCGCAGTCCACACCACGAAGCTGATGAGGCACAAAATTCTTGATAATCCGCACAGCTCGAACTTCTTGCAGATCGACACATCCGCGAACAACCTCGTCCGCACTTGTGTCGTAATACACAAGCTGGTGTCTATCCGTGTTGAGCACAAAAAATCGCTTCTTCCATTGTTGTAATACTCTTCTGTGGCCCATTTTGTAAAGCCAACCATAGAATGATGCATCTGACAGGTGAATCGGTAGACGACTCTTCATGTTTTGCAGTTTCTCTTGGAACACTCGTGTACCAGTCATTGCATGTAGTGCCTCCAGGCGTCGTGTTGGTGAGAGGTTACCCGGTTGGACGCGCATTTCTTGCCTGAAGAGGGTGAACATCAAGAAGAGTGAGGATACAACAACCAATGTTGAGTTATGTTTACATGCAACAACGAATGTGCCGTTGTGGGGTGGTTCAAAATGCAACACTTTAGCTCATGCATAAAAAACAGTCACAGCACTCTGTTTGATGGCGTGTGAGTGTACTGTCAGCAGTGGTAAATGAAGGTAATGGAGTGCTCGGAAATTCAATTGGTATGGTAAAACTCACCGGCTCAGTGACAATGCCCTTGCTATACTGAAGAGTGGAAAATAGGGACAAGCCAATTATTCAGTGAAGGCGCCTCATCCATCTCATCAAAAGTCTGCAGGGACGGAATGATAAATTGGCCAGCCGTTTTGCGTAGATGGGTCAACCTAGTCTTGATAACGATTACTATGCGACCTAGTATCGCTTTCAGGGGGGGGGGGTAAAGATACCCCAACACAATTAGTGCTGAGTCAGTATGAAATTTCAGCAACCCAGTGAACATTTTCTACGGTGGTGTGTCACTGGGATTACCTGGCAAATTGGCCTTATGCGACTGACAGTTATCAAGCTACGACAGGCACTGAAAAGCTGAAAACAGCGTTGTGATAGCTTGTTGATGTGCCGGTAACATCCATCAACATTACGTTCATTCGATATGCATATGGTACATTTTCAAGTGGAAAAGAAAACAACCGGTTAATTTTCTCGGTCAAAGTCATCAAAACGTTGGATTTCGTCAAACATCCGACCGAACATCAAGTAACTACTCAAGTCCAAGTGTGCAAGCTTTTTACCTACATACAGATCTTCCATCGTCCGAAAATCTTCCAGGAAAGACTAGCAAAAACTTGAAGTGGCCTCATTGCTCAGGATGTGGAGGCCAACTCTTTTTGGTCCTAGTCATGACAGTGCGTAGAGAGATATCAAATGTTACATTATTGAAAAGATATGCTCACACAAGAAGGTGCTTCCAAACAACAACAAGCAAATTTCCTCATGTGATACATCATCATCATCACCATTATCAGCTGTAATATAATAATACTTGTCGTACGATGGCTGTAGTTGTCACAGTTTCGTTCACAGATGATTCGGGGGAGGGGGGTAG